GGAGTGTGAGAGGGGAATAAATGGTGACATGTAGTAAGGAAAAAGGAGGAGGCATTTCAATTTAAAACCGAAATAAGATTTTTTCTGCGTCGATTCTATACAGAGCCTCTGCGCAGATTCTAATCAGAGAAAGTGTGACAACCTCTACGTAGATTTTGCGTAAAATGTTCTTAGCCGCTGATTAGATTCCACGTAGATTTTAATAAGAATTGTTATCAGGTATTTTTTCGCGGTGAGGTCAGAAAACAATTTGACATTTTTGGCCTTTTCTTTCCTGTTTCTAAAAACTACCGATATCTTTCTATCGCAAATGTAAGACCATACTTTTTTCTTCAAGATGCATTCATTTTTGCTATCATTGACCACTTGTAGGCGGCACTCTACAGTTACGAGTGCGTGGCATGGTGGTTATATAAATAATAATATCTTGCTGAAACTGTTAATCTTCTAACACGCGCGCCCCCTTGTCCCTATAGGGGCGCGCATGTGGTTTTCCTGGCCATTTTATGGTAGATATTTGTACGACGGGTGCTGTTTTCAAAAATGGTCAGTCGTGACTACGAAAAATGGTGGGTTAAAAAACGCTATCTTGTTTTCCATAATTTGGTCTTCTTACACATATATTTAGTATAATAATGGACGACGAACATGCATTAATTGGAATATCAGTAAGTCACTTTTGTTCGATTTTCTTTCCAACTCGTCTCCCAACCAATCAGAATGGTGGAATCCAATCCTCTGACTTGCTTACCCGGCGAGGCCCAATAAATACGGTCGAGATCTAACCACGGAAGAACCTAGAGGCCCCAACTCCGACCTCCGTTCCTTTCACGCCTTTGTGTCGTCAAAACGAAACTCTCCTGCCTCAGTCGTTGTAGATTACAAAGTCTAGGAGGTTTTGTATGCGGGTTAACCTTAAGAAATTGGCTGTTTTTTACTAATTAACTTCACCTTTCTCCTTTTGGCTATCCTTCGGCCCAGAAGGGCTCATTACAAATTAATGGGCGCGCTAGGCTTCGGGGTTTGCTTTGGACTGGGTGTGGTGGATGTGTCTGGCGTGGTAGATGTATCGAGACTAAGGTGAATTTCGCTCTCGTGAATGTATATGTGACCGAATAGGTCTACGCGGTGAGTGAATGTACGGGGTCAGTGGAGGCGGATGTAGCGAATGTAGGTTGGTGTTCCAGGCACTGGTTCGCCAGTCTCTGTGTGATGGACTCTCAAGTAACCGACCAGGCCGATGTGTGAGGTGAATTTGCGATCACAATGAGGACAGGTATGAACCGAGTGCACCTCGCCGGAAGTGGGAAGATGGTGATGTTTGGTGCTGTTGAGACGTTGGACGTCGTCTTTTCGGTAGGGGGGAGTGACCGAGGTGGAGTCACTAAATGATGGCGGCGGTGCATCGACAGTGGAAACAGCACAGAAGACGAAGGTGCGATCACTGGTACAAGAAATTAATTTGCCTGCAACAGCAGCAGCAGCAGCAACAGCAGCAGCAGCAGCAGCAGCGGCAGCAGCAGGTACTCAGGCACTCCTTTAGTTTCGCCGGAGGTGTCCTAACGCCATCGTCGTGTTCACCTTAGTGAGATTGCCTCTTATCCCTGCACCTAAAAAAATTTGAAGGAGACGCTAAAATGGAACAAAATTAAACGTCCTGCCGAAGCCGAAATAAATGGTATCTACTGGATGTCCTTAATCCGTGGCCTTTGACAAATGTTCCAGCCACGTAAGCGGGTTTGTGAGCAGAGCGTCTTTTCACAGAAGCCATGTTGAACTGAATTCACGTGATAGCAGAATGTATCGAGCGATGTAATTGATTCTTTAATTATCCCTTTCACCAGCTTGCAGTGAATTCAAGTCAGACTCGCCGGTCTGCGGTTGGTGTGATATATTCGTGATCCCCCCTTGCGGATGGGTACACCGTTTGTCATCATCCTTGTCTCAGAAAGTATACCTGCCTCCAACGATTTTTGGAAGATTATACAGAGTGGTTCTGCTAATTCTTCAGCTTTTTAACGTAGGAGTACACCTGGGGTCTCATCTAGTCCAGGTGACTTTGCCGGATCCAGCCTATTTAACTCTGCGGTGTAAATAATAGTGTGTTTATAAATGCGTGGTTGACGAGCTGTGGCAGAGAGCAAGACTGACCCAAATTCTGCTAAGTTGGACTGTTAGTCTCTACCAAATGGCAAAATTTTGCGTTCGAAGACAGTTTGCAGCAGAGATGCGCTGAACCAGAATAGGAGTCAGCTTAGCTCACGACACGAGTTAGTACGGCCGAGCAGGGTCAGTGTAAGCCCAAAGTTACTGTCGCACACGAGAGTCGAGGTGGCCTACCCAGAAAATGCGCCTTCATACCGCATTAGCCGCCGAGTCAAATCCGACCATTAGCTGAGTGATGGGCTCGGACAGAGGAATATTGCACAGGGAAAGGCAGATGAGAGGAGGTCGACAATAAGGAATTCACATCCACAAAAAATCAGTTCGTTGCTCACTATTATAAGGCTGACGTTTTAGAGTCTATCGCAGTGCGCCGGGAGTCGGCGCTTGGAAGGTCGCTAAGTGACGGATGACTCAGCCATCGCAAGGACTCGGAGTCAGACTCAAGGCCTCCTTCCTTAAGTGGTTACTACAGTATTCCCAATAATGCGAGATCTGAGCAGCCATCACGAACAGACGACAGGTGTTATGGGAGGGGGTCTTTGTGAGGCACGCGTAGACAGGCCGTTCAAATTTGTCAGCCACCAAGGCCTCGACCACGTCCGTTCGCCTTGACACTGTCCGTCATCCGTGCGAGGTGAGTTAGGAGGGAGAGAGCGCAGCATTTGGCGCTCAAGCCTGCTAATTTATAAATATACTGATTCGCTGTTCAACGTCCTGCGTCCACTCGGTGGGCCATGCGGTAGGCGTTGCCGAACTCGACGGTCGAAATGTCAAGTCTGTTTCTTGTGTCATCATCGAGAATTTTATACAAATGTCCAAACTGATTTCTGCAGCAGCTTCACATGAAATGCTGACTAATGTCTCCCATCTGAGAAGGTGTTTGAATCGTGGTCCTATAATGGAAAAATTAGTTTATTTTGCACACGAAGCATGGGATACTTCCTCCACTCAAGTCTTTGTAAGAGCCAGCGAAACAAGTAAACTGTAAAATAACGCTCAGTCAGTCAAAATATATGCCACAACAACGGGTGCTAGATTCAGTCGCAAGCAAAATTTAGTTATAAAAGGAGTACCCGAATCAACGGCAGCAATTCCAAAGGAGAGAGTTAAACATAACTTTGGCCTTCTTCATGTGTATGCGAAAGCTTTGTTAAGAGACAATGGGTCGTTTAATGTTCTCAAATTCATTCGAATAGGGAAGACTCAGTCAGCGTTCGGTTCCAATTCCCGGCCACGACTCCTAAAAGTCATTTTGCAGACCGAAGCACAGGCACAACTCCTGTAACAGAGAAAATCATATCTGCGGGGTCAGCATCCTGAAGTTTTTGTCGGCCGGATTACGAGCCAAAAGAGCGAATGAAAATGAGAGAGCTGATGACGGAGCTGGAAAGGCGGAGAAGCAGCGGCGAAACTCACCTACAAATCAAGAATGGGCAAATAATTCAGGTCAAAAGGACATTTCTCTGGTCGAAGGCCGTCATTCTGACAGCCTAACCAATGCAAAGGTGCCAACTCCTGAGGCTGCTAGCACCGGTGGCCGCTGTCTAGAAATCTATTACACTAACTATCAGAGTCTCCTCAAGAAGCTAGATGAAGTCAGATTGCTAGTCTCTGAACAGAAGCCTCACATACTTGTCCTAACCGAGACATGGTTGACTGAGGAAATAAGTAGTAGCGAAGGCAGTATTGGAGGTTACCAACTGTTCCGTTGTGACAGATTTCAGCGAAGAGGAGGAGGCACACCGATTTATGTGTCCAATGAAATTCCGTGCTGTCAACGAGAAATATCCGATGGGGCGTCGTGAAATTTTGAAATAATTTCATGCAGGATATGTGCCAAACAATCACCGACAATTAATCTTTCTGTTGTCTATCGGCCTCCCAGCTCGAATGAAATCGCCGATATGGGATTGCTTAGTGCAATGGAGTTGTTATGTAAGCAGGAGAACTTACTACTTCTGGGTGACTTGAACGCTGCAGTAATAGATTTGATAATTCAGTTAACAAACGCCCCGTCCACGTCATTTGACCACAAGCTACTACAACGCTCCCTGAATGACTACTTCATTCAACCCATAAAATTTGGAACAAGGCTGAGAGAAGGATAACGATCTAACTGTTTAGATCTCGTTTTCAGTAAAGAAGAAGGAGTCATAAGAGATGTGAATCCACAACCTCCACTCGGTTTAGGCGATCATATTGCTTTTACTTTCGTGTGCTCTCTCCTATCGAGCCAACAAACAAGAATCAAAAGGCGCATATATATTTGGAAGGGTGACTTTAACGCAATGAGACGTGCTGTTTTGAAGGAAACCTGGGTAGTCAACATGGAAAATCCCGAAGAATTCTGGCAGTACTTTCGAGGGATTATAGAGCGTCTAATTGACTCCCTTTGTCCCATAAAAATAACAAGACCATGATCGCGACCGCCGTGGGTCAATCCGACGACAAAAAGGACCATGAAGAAGACACAGAGGCTGTGGAAAAAGTATTTGCATCTTCGAGATCCAATGTCATTCGCCGAATAAAAGGATCGACGCAATAAATGCCGCAAACAAATACAGGTTGCTAGAACTTCTTTCGAGCGCCGACTGATAGCAGAATCCGCTACGTATCCCAAGAAGTTTAACGGGTTGATCCGCAGTAGGAGAAAACATAGGGGAGGAAATTGCGTGTCTAAAGGATAGCCTCGGAAACTTTTTAGTTGAAGGGCCACAGGAAGTGCAATTACTCCCTCAGTTTTTTTCAATTGGTTTTTACGGAGGGTCCTCTGAAGTCAATCAGCAGTTTGAAATGGACCGAGACAGCCGGGAGCTTCAAATGCGACAAGATACTGCCGTCATTGAGACCGTTGCCTTTTCCGTCGAAGAAGTAAGACGCGTCGTCAGTCAAATAAAACCAGACAAGTCTCCTGGACCCGAAGAAATTCTTGGGCCGATACTTAAGGAGCTACTGGCGGCGCTGTCAAAGCATCTTTCGACCCTCTTTGTGCTGTCAATGAGAACAGGAAGGCAGCCCTCATAGTGGAAGACAGCTAACCTCGTTCCATTGCATAAGGGATGTAGCAGGATGGCAGCAAGCAGCTTGAGGCCTATTAGCTTAACTTGCCTCTCATGCAAAACGATGGAGGCTCTAGTCAAGAGTGCTATACAGCAATTTTGTGAAGAAAATAACATCTTGCAGGATTTTCAGCATGGCTTCCGGAGAGGATGTTCCCGCCTCTCAAATCTGCTAGCTTTTCTGGACCAGGGCTCTAGAAGAGGGTTTTGAGGTCGATGTCGTGTACATCGATTTCCGCAAAGCTTTTGACACTGTCCCGCACCAAAGTCTTCTTCACAAATTGAGCACCATCGGCATCCGGGGAGATCTTCTGAACTGGATAGGGGCGTTTCTGGTTGGTCGGAAACAGCGTGTCCGCATCGGAGTTGATATGTCAGAATGGGTGAACGTGACCAGTGGTGTGCCTTAAGGCCCAGTTCTGAGACTATTGCTCTTAATCCTTTACGTTAATGACAGCCTTCAGGAACTCGTATGCGGCAAAATAATGTTTGCCAACGACGTTAAGCTCTGGCAAGTCATTTAGAGTCCTTACGATCAGAGATCCCTTCAGGATAATCTGCACCGACTGCAAGCGTGGTCGGAGAAATGGCTTCTAGATTTCAATGTGGAGAAGTGTGCCAAACTTCATCTGCGTCCAGCCAACTCCCATTCAAATGAGAGCCTGAGGACCTATCACCTGAAAGATATAAGGTTCCCCACAGAATCTTCACAGAAGGATCTCGGGGTTTGGATACAGAACAACCTGATACCAACACTGCAGTGCCACAAGGCTGCAAAAAACGCCATGGGACTGCTGCATGCAATCAAAAGGCCGTTCGTATCCTTTGACCAAGACCTTTTTGGGAGAGGTTACAGCACATTTGTTCGGCCCCACTTAGAATATGGCATACAAGCATGGCGGCCATGGCTGGTAAATGACCAAGAATGCCTCGAACGGGTACAACGGCGTGCAACAAAGCTGGTAAACGGTCTAAAAAGCCATTCCTACACAGACAGACTGAATTGCTTTAATTTATTCCCTCTGTGTTACAGGCAGCAAATAGGTGATCTTATCCTCATCTACAAGATAGAGCATGGACTTGAGCATGGACTTACCTTTGAGGACATGTTTCAGTGGCACCTTCCACCCAATCTTCGCGGTCACTCGAAGACGCTACGGACAACAATGTCCAGGATGAATCTTCGTTCTGAATTTTTCGCGCAAAAGGTAGTGGAGAAATGGAACGATCTCCCTCAGTCAGTCATGGAGGCGACGTCGACGCAACTCTTCAAGAAACGTTTGGATGATTATTTGTGTCCCCCGTTTTCCCTCGACAGTCTGTGTCTCAACTACATACCCCGCGAAACCGCACATCTTTTCTCTGAAACAATGCTACCCAAATGAACTAAGTACTGTTTTAATAGCGAATATTTTCATTGTTCGTGTACAGGTATTTCTAACGAGCTGACATGTAATCAATAGGGTTTTCAAAGGCTTTGCCTATTATCCTTGCCCAATAAGCTGAAATAAACTGAATTTGCAAAAGTGGTCAGATTCTCTTGTGACCTACGATCAACAATATACATTTCCGCGTAGACTTCAAGAATTTTAGTCATTTTTAACACGTGATCTTCCCACCAAGAAGGGCCCTGCGATATGTTTACTCTACACAATGTGGAGTAACTTTAAAATAAGTGCGGTTTGCTACTGTCAGTAACTTTATTTGAAGGCAATTGTGAGGCAATTGAAATTTTGTCGTGATATTGCTTACAGTGAAAGCAGACTTGCGCAGCATCTATTGCACTCTCTTCTCCTCCCCTACCTGGGCCCGGTGTCAAGCCAGAGTCAAGAGGTCGTTGGCCCACCAGTGGGTCCACCATCATCGCACATTTGTTTTCCCATATATACACCTATTTACGTATTCAACCTGTCTATCTTCCACATAAATGACAACGCGAACTTTAAGCAAATGCTAAAGGACTTGACCCTGCAGAGTTTGTCCTTTAATATGTACGTGGCCGTAGGACGGACTACGGTAGTAAAAAGAACTGGTGGTAAATTTTGCCCCATGAACCATTTTGCGTAAACAGTAATTCTTACTGCAAGTCGATCACTAAACATACAGCCGAATCGTGTTCTCGTTCTAGAGGAAATAAAGTCGTCATGTCACACTTAGTGTTGCAGGAACCAGTCAGATCAACTAGTTGAGACTCCTATTTCACCGGTTTTAGGGAAACCCGTAATAGTAGTTTCAATAAATCTCTAACTTTCAAAGGTCCGCCTAAAAAGGCTTTTCGTTTCGTGCGCAAATTTAGAATACGAATTTCTATACGCTCCCTGGTACGTTTTCGATATCTCCAAGACAATTCGTTTGCCCATGAATTCGTAGGCTCAGAAACTCTGATACTTTTTCAACCAGTCAGCGGTTCCCTGATAAAGTCGAATCTACGAAGTCGAATGTTAGACGAGACCATTGACCACCTAAGCTAGCGTCAAATCCTGTTTTATTGTAGGAAAGGTGGCACATGTGCGTCTGTGCGCATGTTTGTGTTTCTGGTCGCAGCTGCTGGTGGTCAGGGTTATGATTGGCTGAATGAAGGCAGAATAAGCCCGAAACAGTGCTGTATCAATCTACCCGCATTCTCTGTCGTCCCTCCTCGCTGCTATTATGACTTGGCCGACTTCGGCCTGGTAATTGGTTGCCTGTTCGTGACCTTTGCCACACATACGGAGCTTGTTTGCTTTGTGAAGCCAATAGATCGGTGTGCGCCCATTCCTGATTGATAAATACCCGATCTGCAGCGACAGAGAATGACAGGTGGCGAGGCACTGATGAACTTCGGTTCGATGAAGTGCTTATGACCCATCTGGTAGGCCTCAGTGGCGGACCGACTGCGCCAGGTGCGTCCGTGCGCATGTTTGTGTTTCTGGTCGCAGCTGCTGGTGGTCAGGGTTATGATTGGCTGAATGAAGGCAGAATAAGCCCGAAACAGTGCTGTATCAATCTACCCGCATTCCCTGTCGTCCCTCCTCGCTGCTATATATATATATATATACATATATATGCAGAATGATATTACCGACAAAGACAAGGGAGACTGGAATGGCCATTTCTGGCTTATTAGCCGTCGTCAGCCAGCCATACCCAAGCCCGAAGTGTGGAACACCCGAGCCTCGAACTCGCGACCTGTTGGTTTAGAAGTCAACGCCTCTACTCACCGGACAACGAGCCGGTTGCCTTGTCGGTTTTCGATCGGGAATATACAGTGTTAGGGGGCGCTCACCGATCATTCATACGGAACTCACTCGTTCCGTTGTGCCTTATGGACTCTCTCTCGAGCCCAACCAGCAGCCGCACAGCGGCGCATGATATATAGGCAGAATGATATGGCTGGCTGACGACGGCTAATAAGCCAGAAATGGCCATTCCAGTCTCCCTTGTCTTTGTCGGTAATATCATTCTGCCTATATATCATGCGCCGCTGTGCGGCTGCTGGTTGGGCTCGAGAGAGAGTCCATAAGGCACAACGGAACGAGTGAGTTCCGTATGACCGATCGGTGAGCGCCCCCTAACACTATATATATATATATATATATAATACAAAGCGCAGACTCGCTCCCTCGCGCTGCGCTATGAGCAAGTTCGCGTCGACGCGTGAACCTCGGCGACTTTTCGGACGCGTGTGCGTGCGAACCTGTTTGCAGACGCCGGAATGCAATGACCGTTTTTGTAGGCATGGCTGTTGGTGGGCTTGATTATGCGGTGACAACGTCTGGTGGGTCAACATATCTGACCTGACAACAACAACAACAACACTACCAAGTGTCAGTCAACTTGTTGAATTCCTGAGTGCATTGTTTTTGCAAGTTATTATGGGAACATGCAATCCGTGCGCTCCATATTTCACCACTTTCAGGGAAACTCACGGTGGCAGTTGAGACAAATGGATAACTTTCGAAATTCCCCTCAAAATGTCTCGTCGTTCGGGGAGAAAATATTTAACATGCTTCCCGTTACACTGTCGGCAGATGCAAGTTAGCTCGAAATGCGTTGGAATTAATGCGATCGAAAATTTCAATACCTTTCCAAGCAGTCAACTACAGCAGCTGGCATCAAGTACCGTTTCATTGTAGAAAATGTGTCGCACAGTTGTCTATTTTTATTAAATACAAAACACAGAGTCACTTACTCGCGCGGTGCCATGAGCTCGCTTGAGTTGACTCGGCCGGAGCGTGAACCTTGACGACTTTCTGGACGCGCGTGCATGCGTCCGTGTTTTCAGACGCCTGAAGGCAATAGCCTTTTGTGTAGGCAAGTCTGTTGTTCCAGCAGCAGCAGCAGCAGCAGCAGCAGCAGCAGCAGCAGCAGCAGCAGCAGCAGCAGCAGCAGCAGCAGCAGCAGCAGCAGCAGCAGCAGCAGCAGCAGCAGCAGCAGCAGCAGCAGCAGCAGCAGCAGCAGCAGCAAACGCCCGTCAATTTGATTCTGTCGTGCCAGCGTGATTTCCCGCATACAGACGCTGATGCCATCTGGGAGATGCATACGCTAATTAGCCATCAGTACCTTCAACTACTTTTCTATGAATACTGCAGCCGAAAGTCCTAGTTTCTTTAATGGGTCTTAGACTATGATATTTCGATCGCCGATTTAAACTGTGTCCATCGTGTGCTCCACAGCAGGGTAGGAGCAGGGACGGTGAAATGCGCGTATAGTGGTAGTGGACTTGCGCAGCGCCAACCGCACCCCCTCCCCATAGTGCTTGAGTCATAGTCCACTGGCCCTTATTCTATTAACAAGTACGACTTCGCCTAGGCGGTGTAATTAGCTACTCGGGAGCGCACAGGCGAACATAGTTTTCAACGCCAAGATCGGTCGGTCAGATGGTGGCCGAGCCATCATCACACCAACATCTTACAGTCGTGATGAAATTACAGCTATTTACGAAGTGAATGTCGGCCATCGAACAGTCATAACATCAAGTGCAACAATTCTCGATGAGAGGGAGAGCCGTAAGTTTTCATTAGGAATGCGTTAGCATGGCGATTGTGCATGAACTACCTGTATTTGATGATGCGTTTTAGCGGGAATCCGAAACGTCAGGCGATTAAAGCTCTTGTCCTAGGGTTCGTGTCTCATTGCTCATGGTTTTGTCAATGTTAGGTTTTAGATGGCATGCGTCCCTCCTTTCCACCACTTCTCTGTTTCTGCTACTTTTGCTGGAAATTTGCACGCGAAACTTGAATATGCTATGAACTCATTCCGCATTCAGTGGCATAATGGCAGTTCGACCGTCGACTCCGACGATCTCTACTGTATGCGTCGATAAAGGGTAAACGCAAAGACCGGTGACTCGCGCGAGATTTAGCTTATAGTGGTAGTGGACTTGCGCAGCTTCTGCTACATATTCCCCCCCCCCCCATCAACCATGGCACGGTATCGAAAGACAGTCAAAAAGATCAGCGTCGTGATGGGACATAAAAGAGACGAAGTTGCAAGCATTGTGAATCAGTGGTTGTTTTGACATAACTGCAATTATGTTTTCCGAAGCAAGGATGATATCTTGGGTGCACGTCTTCAACTCTCCCTCTCCCTGAAGATACCCCCTGCGCCGTCAATTAACCGTCTCATTTTCAGGCGAATTTGTGTTATAAATCGACAGCAGATTTTAATTAGATTCCAAATGCAACAATTTTGAAGGACGGACTTTATGCATTTTAATGTCAACGCCTTTAAAATGCGCTTTTTACAAATATTAATCCACACTCCTGTGTCGCCATGCATACCCCAATCGATTATGAGACTGAGAATCTAGTGATGAGACGTCTTCGTTGGGTGCATTCTGAGACTTCACGGGCAACTATTATAATCTCTCGAAGATGTCGGTTATGGTATGTGATAACCCCTTCTAGAATTTGGAAAAGTCGATTGTGCAAATATTCTTGTGTACCAGACTGTCTGGTGCCTGTACTTCATCTACTTACTGAGTGACCGACAACTAAGCAAATCCCATCAACACTGAGCGAGGTACTTGCGATCTCTGACCTATCCGCTGTAAGTTCAGCAGAGATAAAATTAGTCTGTCAGTCTCAACCTCGCAATAACCGACTGCATCAGGTCAGCAGACTTGCTGAAGCGTTGCACACATATATATTTATGAAAAGCCGTCCTCAACAATCCATTTGAAAATGTTGCCTACCCTGTTCTCCGCACTTTGTCTGTACGCCTGCTTGGCTTCTGGTTGCCGTAGATATAAACGTAAGTTCTGTGTTAATTTAAAACCCCAGACTTCACTATCATACTCTCTTAACTGTGTGATATTCATTACGCATTTGGCAGATACATGACTAAATCATGTAAATTGATTAATGATCGGACAGCCATCCACTGCACCATCAAATCAACCAACTAAACCCTCTGTTCGCAGGGCTACCCGAGTCTGTTTATGTATTTTCACGAGGATGTCATAGAGGCAAATGATGCCGTTGGCAAATGGACAAAATTTCCAAAACTCGAGGTTTCTTTGCATAATTTAACTGTTTTTAATGTTTTACGGGTAAGGGAAATACTTAGTTAGGACCTGTGGCAATCCAGGCATCACTGGCTCATCTACTTATGTGCTGACTCTAAATTGGTAGGTTCGCGCCCGTTCCAAGTGGCAGGCGATCTATCAACGATTGTGAAGTCATGCATGTCTTCATCCTCAACAAATAACGTCAGGATCAAAACAACTGATGAACCTCGTTGCCAAAGTCGCCTTGAAGGTCTTCAGTTCAGCAACGAAAGTACCTGCGATCTGGTTAGAACAGAGCTGCGAAAGCCTTTTTCACAAAATCTTTGTCAAATGCATATTGACTTCGCAAACATAAGCCTCAGATGCCAGGTGCGTGCATCCGTTTCGTCGAATATATGAGTTTCTTTCAGATTGAAGGACTCAGGGAAGTAAGCATGCAGATTTTTAGCTTCCACAACATCCCGGTGCAAATCACCGTGATTGTTCGTCGTTTTGAAGCCAGGCGTTGTCCATTGGTTTACTCTGGACTTGCATTTCCTCAGCACATAATGTACTACGATGAATTCTACTACAGCCTGTGGTTGCCAGAGGAGATCAAAATAAATCTGTTGTCCGTTTTCGGGAGTGCGCTAATGTCCGGTTTTCCTGTCCAGTGTGTTATTTGAGATGTTCTACGCGGAAAGACTCGTTAATCGCAAAATTTCCGTTACATAAATGAACACGTGCATTCTGTCTTTTTTTTACAATACATTTATGGTCCCTTAATGATTTTCTTATCAGTTTCGCAGTATCCGTGCTGCATTTGTATGGAAGAGCATGGAGAGGTTGAAATTGAGTGCACCTTGATAGTGATGGCGGAATTTGTGGTGACGATGTTGATGGTAGTAGTAGTAGTAGTAGTAGTAGTAGTAGTACAAGTATTAGTGGTTAAGTTCATTTTATTTGATAGAAATGTAGATGATGAACCCTTGAACTCTCTAATTGTTACAATAAAGTCTGAAAAAGGAAACATAAAACAGCTGCAGATATTAATAGAAACCGGACAGATAAATGAATTATTGTTAGTGTCAAAAACTTTAAATTTTCCAAACAAACCGTACTGCAGTCAATCCATGAATAAATCAGCTGTAGACAATTTGTACGATCCGAGTTATCTGAGGGAAACGAATCGAATGCTAACATTCGAAAGTAAATGAGTAAATGAAAACAAATGTTACTGAAATATAGGCAGTAGCATAGGACAGTAATAAACATTTAACAATTTAAGCCTTTGTCTCCCTCATTGTTAGTCAGCATCAGTCAGTTTATTTGGAGTAAATGACAGAAGTCCTGAAAACCCCATTGAAACGGCAAACACCAAAATAGTTAAATTCCAAGAATTTGCATGTAATTTAAATGTGCACAATGAGCAAATCGAGTGGTGGAACTGAAATTTGGAAAAGATGTCGCACTTGCGTTATGAAGGTGAAGAAAATTGTTCACTGCGCTAATACCGTGAAAATTTTTATATGGGTCAAGTTCCGTGTAAACAAAATGCCACGCCTATACCGCATATTCTCAGGTACCTTGCCAAAGACATCTGCATTCAAGATAATATAAGTTCTTCGTATCGCGCTCTTGATTCACATTGTCCCCGTTGCGACTTTAGAGCACGGCCTGATGAAACTTAATCGTCATTAACGAACATGCCAAGGTCTTTTTGCTCATCTACAGCTTCAAATGGTTGAGCGTCCAGGAGATTATGACGTGAGTGTGCATTCGTTGCTTCACCCTGCTAATTCTGTTTGCATTACCACACATGTGTCTACGTTGAATTTCATGCTCGATCGTGGAAGAAATCTCGGATCCACTTCGGGTGATTTCCTCTCATACTTCGGCTGGCAACTTTTGAACAAGTCGCCTATGTGAAATGCTATCAGACGCCCTGCTGAAATTAAAGTAAATGACATCTACTGGACGCCCTTCATCCATGACCTTTGACCAGTGTTCAAGCCACTAAGAAGGTTTGTGAGGCAGGACGATCTTTCACAGAAGTCATATTGAACTGAACTCACGTGCCAGCAAGATGTATCAAGTGATGTAATTAACTGTCCCTTCCCTCAGCTTGCAGCAAATGCATGTCAGAATTGCCGGTCGGTAGTTGGTATGATACAGCCGTAACCCTCTCTTGTAGAGGGGTACGACGTTTTTGGAAGATTACACAGAGTGGTTCTGCTAATTCTTCAGCTAGTTGACGTAAGAGTACACCTGGGATCTCATCTGGTCTAGGTGACTTGGTCGGATCCAACTTATTTAACTCTGTCAAAACTAGCTGCGGTGTAAATACTACTGCGTTTATAAGTGATTTGTTGACGAGCTATGGCTCAGAGCAGGAGTGGAAGGGTCTTCCCGTGGTATAGACACCTGGTGTTCGAAATCCTGCTCGTTTTTGCGTGGACCTAGCATAGCTCAGATTAAGGGGAGGAGGGAGTGCGGTAGTTGCTGTGCAAGCTTACCATCACTACAAACAAATTCAAGATATATCCACCGTACCTGCTCTCATCTTGTTGTGAAACACACGGTGAACATTGTCGGCAACGACGATCGAGACTAGGGTGACTGTAGATGGTCTCTATGTGTGTTAGTTTAGGAAAGCTGTGGCCTCCCATTTCAACATTACTGTCTCCTGCAAATCCAGCTCAATCCCCCGGTTGCTCAAAGGACTGTCTATCGAAGAAGGAGTTTGTGTCAAGAGGAAGGCACAGCGGTTCATCGAATCAAGTACAACCGAAATAGACGCCAAAACACGTCTACTGATGACATGGTCTAGTCATTTATGCCAGAACTCTTTTAGTTTTTTCCAGAAATTTTGTCTATCCTGTAATTTGGAATCCGGATTTTTAAGAGTGGATAGCTCCGATAAATTTTGTCGTCATCGTCACAAACACCCGAATTTAAGATAACTGCCGTATTTGATTCCTGCGAAGTAAAGAAACTCAACAAAATCGTGAAAACACTGTTCATCAGTGGGATTGCATGTATCAGCAAATTGATTGGAGACATACGCAGTCAAACTCGGAATGCAGCACTGCCGGTTTAGCTGTTATGACCCGGA